ATGCCATATTTTTCTTCATATAGCCCAGCTTCTTGGATTATTTGTTCTGCATATAGATTGAATAAGTTAGGTAAAAGAATATAGCCTGCTGCATACCTTTTCCAATTTTAACGCATTCAGTATCCCCTTGTTCTGTTCAAACAACTGCCTCTTAATTTATGTACAGGTTCTCCATAAGCACAATTAAGTGTTCTAGAATTCTCATTCTTTGCAATGTTATCCATAATTTGCTATGATCCACACAGTTGAATGCCTTTGTATAATAAAAAAAACACCAGTAAACATCTTTCTTTCTGGTAATCTCTGCTTTTGGCCAAGATCCATCTGATATCAGTAATGATATCTCTAGATTGACATCCTCCTCTGAATCTGGTTTGAATTTCTGGCAGTTCCCTGTCGATGTACTGCTGCAATCATTTTTTTTTAGATTATCTTCAGCAAAATTTTACTTGTGTGTGGTATTAACAATATTGTTCGATAATTTCTGCATTCCTTTGGATAACCTTTCTGAAATGAGTACAAATATAGATCTCTTCCAGTTAGCTGGCCAGGTAGCTATCTTCCAAATTTCTTGGCATAGATGAGGGAGCACTTCCACAGTTACATTCATTTGTTGAAACATATTAATTGATCTTAGGCCATGAAGCAACCCTCAACAAAATCCAAAACACTGAGATAATACAAAGTGTCTTCTCTGATCACAACACCATCAAAATAGAAATTAATAACAGGAAGAGCAAGGAAAAAAATCTAATACGTGGAAACTGAGTAACACCCTGCTTCAAAACCACTGGGTAATAGAAGAAATCAAAGATGGAATAAAAAAATTCTTAGAATCAAACAAGAATGAAAACATATCATATAAACACCTTTGGGACACAGCAAAGGCAGTGCTGAGAGGTCAGTTTATAGCAGTAGATGCACACAGCAAAAAAAAGAAAGGGACAAAATCAAAACCATTAGCTACACAACTTGAACAAATAGAAAGAGAACAGCAAAACATACCCACAGCCATCAGAAGAAAGGAAATAATAAAGATCAGAGCAGAAATAAATGAAATAGAGAATAGAAAAACAATAGAATCAACAAAACCAAAAGTTGGTTCTTTGAAAGGATCAACAAAATCAACAAACCATTGGCCAAATTAACAAAAGAAAAACAGGAGAGGATGCAAATAACCCAAATAAGAAATTAAATGGGGGACATTACAACAGACCCAACTGAAATAAAAAGGATCATAACAGAGTACTATGAAAAACTATACACCAACAAATTTGAAAATGTAGAGGAAATGGACAAATTTCTAGAAACACATTACCTCCCCAAATGACTGCAAACTGAAGTTGAAAATCGGAACAGACCCATAACAAGAGAAGAAACTGAAAAGGCAATAATGAAAAATTCCCAACAAAAAAAGCCCTGGCCCAGATGGCTTCACTGGAGAATTCTACCAAACATTCAGAGAAGAGCTTACACCTGTACTATTCAAACTACTTCAGAACATAGAAAAGGCATAAAAACCAGACAAAGATGCCACAAAAAAAGAAAATTACAGGCAAATATCTCTCATGAATATAGATGCAAAAATTTTCAACAAAATCCTAGCCAACAGAATTCAGCATCATATCAAAAAAATAATACAGCATGACCAAGTGGGATTCATACTAGGTATGCAAGGATGGTTCAACATTAGAAGATCAATCAACGTCCACCACATAAACAAAATGAAAGAATCACATGATTATCTCTATGGACACAGAAAAGGCATTCGACAAAGTCCAACACCCACTCCTGAAAAAAGCTTTGAATAGAATAGGTATAGAAGGGAAATTCCTCAACATAATAAAGGACATCTATACAAAACCAACAGCCAACATCATTCTTAATGAAAACATTCCCCTTGAGAACAGGAACAAGACAAGGATGCCCTTTATCACCACTCCTATTTAACACTGTGCTGGAAGTCCTAGCTAGAGCAATAGGGCAAGAAAAAGAAATAAAGGGCATCCAAATTGGTAAAGAAGAAGTTAAACTGCCCCTATTTGTGGATCATATGATACTATATACAGAAAACCCAAAACACTGCATGAGAAAACTACTGGAACTAATAGAAAGATTCAGCAGAGTAGCAGGATATAAGATAAGCATACAAAAATCAGTTGGATTCCTATACACCAATAAAGAGAACAATGAAAAGGAAATCAGGAAAACAATACCATTTATAATAGCCCCTAAAAAAATAAAATACTTCGGAATAAATCTAACTAGGGATGTAAAAGACTTAAACAAAGAAATCTACAAAACACTACTACAGGAAACCAAAAAAGACCTACGTAAATGGAAAAACATATGCTCATGGATAGGTAGACTCAACATTGTGAAAATGTCAATTTTACCCAAAGCAATCTACAAATACAATGCAATTCTTATCCAAATACCAATAGTACTCTTTAACGAGATGGAAAAACTAATCATTAACTTTATATGGAAAGGGAAGAGGCCCCGGATAAATGAAGCACTACTGAAGAAGAATAAAGTAGGAGGACTCACCTCCTGAAATGGTTGAACACTGACCAATTCTTTTTGCTACAGTGACTCTGTGTATTCCTTCCATCTTCTGATGCTTTCTGCATCATTCAACTTATTCCCTATAGAATCCTTCAATATTGCAATTCAAGAGTTGAATTTTCTCTCCAGTTCTTTCAGCTTGATAAATGCTCATCGTGTTCTTCTCTTTTGATTTTCTAACTCCAGGTCTTTGTACATTTCATTATAATACTTTACCTTGTCTTCTCAAGCTGCCTTTTGAAATTTTATGTTCATCTTTTGTACTTCATCATATTTTCTGTCCACTTTAGCTACTCTCTGTTCAACAGCAATCTTCAGAGTCTCTTCTGACATCCATTTTGTTTTTATTTTCTTTCTTTCCTGTCTTTTTAATGATCTTTTTACTTTATTCACGTATGATGTCCTTGATGTCATCCTACAATTCTTCTGGTCTTCGGTCATTAGTATTCAGTGCATCAAATATATTTTTGAGATGGTCTCTAAACTCAGGCAGGATGTATTCAAGGCTGTACTTTGGCTCTTGTGGACTCGATTTGATTTTCTTCAGCTTCAACTTGAACTTGCATATGAGCAACTGATGGTCTGTTTCACAGTCAACCCCTGGCTTTGTCTTGACTAATAATATTGAACTTCTCCATCATCTCTTTCCATGGATGTAATCTATCTGATTCCTGTGTAAACCATTTGGCGAGGTCCACATGTGTAGTCTGTGTTATTGAAAAAAAAAGTTTTTCTGATGAATAAATGATTGGTCTTGAAGAATTCTATCATGTGATCTCCTACATCGTTCCTTTCACCAAGACTGTATTTTCTAATTACTAATCTTTCTTCGTCTCCAATTTTCACATTCCCATCACCAGGAATTATCGATACATCTTGATTGCACATTTGATCAATTTCAGACTGCAGCAATGCATAAAAATCTTCAATTTCTTCATCTTTGGCATTTGTAGTTGGTGCATAAATTTGAATAACAGTCATATTCACTGGTCTTTCTTGTAATGTGCATGGATATTAACCTATCACTGACAGCACTTTACTTCAGGATCGATCTTGAAATTTTTTTTTTTAATGATGAGTGAATGCAATGTCATTCCTCTTTAATTTGTCATTCCCAGCATAGTAGACCATATGATTGTCAGATTCAAAATGATCAATACCAGTCCATTTCAGCTCACTAATGTCTAAGATATTGATATTCAAGACTTCCATTTCATTTTTGACAATTTCTAATTTTCCTTCATTAATACTTCATACATTCCACATTCTAATAATTAATGGATGTTTTATAGCTATTACTTCTTATTTTAAGTAGTGCCACATCCGCAGATGACAGTCCAGAAGGCTTTACTCCATCTGCGTTATTAAGGTTGACTCTACTTTGAGGAAGCAGTTCTTCCCCAGTCATATTTTTAGTGCCTTCCAACCTGAGAGGCTTATCTTCCAGCACTATATAGGATAATGTTCTATAGTATCCAGAAGGTTTCATTGGCTAATTTTCAGAAGCAGATCACCAGGCCTTTTTCCTAGCCTGTCTTAGTCTGGAAGCTCCACTGAAACCTGTACACCATGGGTGACCTTGCTGGTATTTCAAATACCACTGGTATAGCTTCTAGCATCATACCAACATGCAATCCACCACAGTATGACAAACTGACAGATGGGTAGTGGTTCACTTAGCAATATGCATTTAAGGTTCCTCCATGTCTTTCCATGGATTGATACCTCATTTCTTTTTATCACTAAATAATACTCTATTTTATGGCTGTACCACAGTTTATTTTTCCATTCACCTATTGAAGGACATTTTACTTGCTTTTAGTTTTTGCCAATTATGAATAAAGCTGCTACAAACATTTGTGTGCAGTTTCTAGTTCATTTTTGTTAAGGAATAGCTTTGAATATTTGGGCATGTCAAATGAGGGGCATAACTTCGATAATTCCTACTATACTGTTTTGAATTCATTTTCTCATTTGTAATATAGAGATAATTCTATTACCCTGATCATTGCTCCGGTTTAGTTAGTGGATCTAATGGATTATGATGGCCACATATTTTATAAACTATAAAGGACTACATAAGTATGTAATAATTTCATTTTATTCTTCTAAATTTATCATACTATGGCAATAGCAAAGGAGCTCTGGTGATATTATGGTTAAAAACTCGTCTGCTAACTGAAAGATCAGCGGCGCAAACCTACCAGTGGCTCCACAGGAGAAAAGACCTGGCAATCTGCTCTTGTAAAGACTAAAGCCTAGGAAACCCTGTGGGGCAGTTATACTCTGTCCTTTAGGGTTACTATGGCAGGAATCAACTTAACAGCACATAACAACAAAAATAACGTGGCAATAGCATGATTTCTAGAATGATGAGGTAAAACAAGATTGCATAAATGAGACTATATTGAAATGCACTTAAAAAGTTGTACCTGACTCCAGTGGAGCATATTTTGAACAGATGTTCCTGCTGGGTTTTGTGACATATACACATCCAAACGACTCTGAAGGATTAAAGAAAAAATTTATACTCTGTCCAATCAGAGAAAGCATAATCTTTGATAGTTAAATAATTTCTCAAAAAAATTTAAAGCTAATTTTTAATAAGTATTAATAAAAAACAAATCAAATAACATTTTAACTAAATATACAAACATACTAAATCATTTTACAATTTGTGCATTAATATAGAAGCTATTACTGTATTGGATTTCCAAGTTATTCAGTCTATCAACTCCCTACTGAAACAATCAAAAGTGACAGATTATACACACATACACATACACATCTTCCTGAAAGCACTGAAGAACTGACATGATAAAAGGAATCATCAAGACAAATTGAAGAGAGAAAACAAAGAAACAAGAACTCCAGCAGACAAGCAATGCACAGAAATTACTTTTTCCCTCAGGTTATCTGCCAATTCCAGAGAATTTAAAATTTCATTTTGAGAGTGTGACTAATTAAGGAAAACTAAAATCAAAATCTATGGCCTGCAGAAATCAGAAGATTTAAAAAGAAACTCTCTCCAAGATAAGACAGAATCCCTAAATTCTACGCTACTCAGGTTAAAGATGAATCCAAAGTATAGCACTCCTCAAATTAATCTGTAATCTCAGTTTGTTTTACCTAGGTAGTCCCTGGTATCCTGAATCAGTGAACCAGACACATTGTGCTCCTGCTGTCAAAGTAACCATATGTGCCTTGTGAAAGTAAACCACACTCCTTCCTTATTTTTTCTGGAAGAAGAAAACAAGTCATGTTTTGGCACTCAAAATGCTGTATTAGTAAAATTTATTTATTTTTTAAATTAATAAAGTAGCACTCATTCAAAGAAAAGCAAGCACATGTAAGAACCAGCAGAAGTTAAAAAAAAAATTAGGGAAAAGCTCACAAATACTTTAGATGTTATCAGATACAAAATACAAACCAATTGCTCGGGTTTATAGAAAATGGAAGGCAATCAATGTAGGATATGAACCTTGAGAGAAGGGAAACATCAGAAGCAAGTCTCATTTTTATCCCAACTTTACACTGAAGGCATTTTCCAAAGCAGCACAAGGAAATAGAGCTAAGCAAAAAGTGTCAGTCTTGCTTGGAAAGGCAACAGAAGTTGGTTTTGGGGACTGCTATGAAGTTGGATTTTGGCAATGGATTACTAAAACGAGTCCCCAAAATTAAAGAGAATTGAAGGGAATTAGACCCATCCTAACAAAGACTAAAAGTAAGCCTTGACAGGATCAAGGTAAACTGCCAGAAATTTACCACCTGCCTGTACAAAACTCTTGAGAGGAAAGTAACTCAACCAAAAGAATCTGCAGCTGATCAGTCACAATGTCTAGCATAGGACAAAAATTTATTAGTCATTCACTGAACCATGAAAACATAACCAGTAATAAAGACATAAAATAATCAATAAAAATAAACCCAGAAATGATCCATACATTGCAGTTAGCAAAGGCTTAAAAAGAACTATATTTAATATGTTAAATAAAATAGAAGTAAAAAATAATAATAATTTTAAAGATGGAGTATTTCAACGAAGAAAAAGTTTACTTCTATAATCAAATGGACATTCTATAAAGCAAAATACAGTGTCTGAAATTAAAATTCATTAGATGGATTTAAAGGCAGAATTAACATAGTGAAAGACAGAATTAGTAAACTCAAGTGCAAGCCAACAGAAAATATTCAGACTGAAGTGGCGGGGGTGGGACTAAATAGAGCATAAAAAAGATGTGGAGCACTGTCAGATGGTCTAATACTTATGCAATTGGAGAGCTGGAATGAAAAAAAAAGGAAATAATTAAATAAATAATAGCTAAGAATTTTCCAAATCCAATGGAAGAAGAATATTAGAAAATGGACTTTAAGGCATAAAGCAGTGCTTGAAATAAAAATACATATAATTTAAAGAAATATTTTTATGTACATAAAAAAAATCTTAAAATATAATGAACAATTTAACAGAATGTCAATTTAACAAAACTTCAAGAGGAAATAGATAAGCCCAAAATATTGCCAAAAGGCAATGCTCTCTCTTCCCTCCTTATAATTTGTATCTATTATATTTGTAGGACTTTTTTACATTGCAATGTAATTGTTTTAAAAATCTTCTCAGGAACTATCTAAGGAATATTCTCATTGCCTTAGTTCTCTAAGGTATGGACTTTATATATATACATATATATATATATTATGTTGCTACCTGACATTGTTTAGTTCATATTATGCTCTGCAATTGTAGTTAGACATTAGAAACCCCATGAAGACAATTCAAATAAAACCTGCCTATGTTGCTCTGATGTCTTGCTTGGGACACCAGAAGAATGAGGATCCACCTTCTCTCAGGTCAGGATTTCTAATTTTTGAAGTTGTCTTCTCAGCAGTGATGCTGGAGCAAACCAAATGAGACAACATGGATATGCAAGTGTATGAGTTATTATATCATACTAATACTAACCAAAGAAAGCAGATTAAGTAACAGACAAGTAGGACCATCAAATGCTTTCAATCATGTAGGCTCATATAATCCTTTTATTCATGTCCTGTTCTTCCCTTTCACGTCTTTCGTTGTCTACAGAATATCCTCCCATCCTAGAGCTAACTCAACTATGTGGGCCTTATAACTGATTATAATATTCGTGAGGTTTTTTCCATTATAATTCCATTGCTATATGATAGGAATCCTATTGCCAGTGCAAACAGGAATGGAGTATGCACGGTGGCTAAGACCTCTAAATTTACCTGGTCAGATTTTCAGTATGTTCATGCTTACACTTAATCTTGAATTTAAAATAAATAAATTCATTCCACAGTTCTGCTTGTTGTCTTTTCTTATTTTACTTCTCTGTCTGCAAGGTCTAACTCTCTCTCCTCACACTGTTTGACCAGTGGAGTTTGATTAATATCAACTAAACTTGGCAAATTATGGGTAACATTGCAAAGAAAGGGAATTACAGAACACTTAATAGTGCTCATGTGGAACCTGTACAAAGACCAAAAGGCAGTCGTTTCAACAGAACAAGGGGATACTGCATGGTTTAAAGTCAGGAAAGGTGTGCATCAGGGTTGTATCCTTTCACCATACTTATTCAGTCTGCATGCTGAGCAAATAATTCAAAAAGCTGGACTATAAGAAGAAAAACAAGACTGGAAAAAGACTCATTAACAACCTGTGTTATGCAGATGACACAACCTTGCTTGCTGAAAGTGAAGAGGACTTGAAGCACTTACTGATGAAGATCAAAGATTACATCTTTCAATATGGATTGCATTTCAACATAAAGAAAACAAAAATCCTCAACTGGACCAATAAGCAACATCATGATAAAGAGAGAAAAGACTGAAGTTGTCAAGAATTTCATTTTACTTGGATCCACAATCAACGCCCATGGAAGCAGAAGTCAAGAAATCAAATGACGTATTGCATTGGGCAAACGTGCTGCAAAAGACCTCTTTAAAGTGTTAAAAAGCAAAGATGTTACTCTGAAGCCTAACGAGCACCTGATCGAAGCCATGGTATTTTCAGTTGTCTCACATACATATGTAAGCTGGACAGTGAATAAGGAAGGTCAAAGAAGAATTGATGCCTTTGAATTATGGTGTTCGTGAAGAATACTGAATATACCACGGACTGCCAGAAGAATGAACAAATCTGTCTTGTAAGAAGTACAGCCAGAAAACTCCTTAGAAGTGAGGATGTTGAGACTTCATCTCATGCACTTTGGACATGTTATCAGGAGGGACTAGACCCTGGAGGAGAACATCATGCTTGGTAAAGCAGGGGGTCAGCCAGAGAGAGGTAAGCCCTCTAGGAGATGAATTGACACAGTGGCTGCAGTGATGGTCTCAAGTGTAGCAGTGATTGTGAGGGTTTATCACAGGAGTGGGCAGTATTTTCTTCTGTTATACATAGGGTCACTAAGAGTTGGAACCAAATGGATAGCACCTAACAACAACAAACAATGCATTTCCCTTCTTCTATCAAAACTTCTCACTCATCATTTGTTCCTTTCACCTGTGTCTTTGTAAAATTTTGATCTCCCTATAAAATGAGCCCCTTTGTAATTTTTCTAGATCTGTGTCTATAGTTTTTTTATTTCTTCATACTATTTTGTTACTATAATACAATATTAAGAGAAAAATGAAACTCAACAATTGAATCCTCAATACTAAATTCATAAAATATCAACTGCCATTATCCCTTTTCTTACATGTTAATATCCTCTCAATCAAGTCCAACATCCACACACAATGGATGCATTGGCCTAGTTAATATCCTATTATTACATGACCCACCTGCTATTTCCTAAAGTATTTTATGTCAATTTTATTGATACAGGTTAGTTGCCAAAAAAAGCCCCACTTTTTTTGTATATTTCCATGAGTTTTGACAAATTTATTCACCCATGTAACCATCACCACAACTAAAATATCAAATATTTGCATCACGCCAAAAGTTTTTTTATACCCATCCCAAGGCAAATATTGACCTACTTTTTGTCACATAGATTTTACCTTCTGAGAGTTTCATAATATAGATCACACAGCGTGTTTTATGTCTAAATTATTTTGCTTAGTATAATATTTTTGAGATTTATTCATGTTGTATGTATCAGTAGTTTGTTTCTATTGCTGAGTAGTATTCCAAATGTATGGATAGGTCACAACTTGTTTATGAATTTATCTACTGAAGGAAATGTAGGTGGTTCTAGTTTTTGGCTATTATGTATAAAATTGCAATAAACATTCAAGTACAAGTCTTTGTGCTTACACAAGTTTTCATTTCTCTTGGGTAAACATCTCAGTGTGGAATCATGGTATTGTACAGTAAATGCATGTTTATGAGAAATTATGAAATTGTTTTCCAAAGTTGTACATTTTACATTTGCACTAGCAAAGTATGAGAGTTCCAGTTGCTCCACATCATTACCATAATTCTAGATTGTCAGTTTTTCTAATTTTACTCATCCTGGAGGCAGTATAACGATATTTCATTGTAGTTTTATTTTATCTGATATCTTTTCATGTGTTTACTACACATTGCTATACCTCCTTTTGTGAACTAAAACCCAAAACCAAACTCATTGCCGTCGAGTCGATTTCGACTCATAGGAATTCTAAAGAATGGAGTAGAACTGTCCCATAGGGTTTCCAAGGCTGTGAATCTTTATGGAAGCCAACTGCCACATCTTTCTTCTTGAGAGTAGCTGGTGAGTTCAAACCACCGACCTTTAGCTTAGGAGCCGACTGCTTTACCACTGCGCCACCAGGACTCCGTTTCTTTTGTGAAGTGCCTCTACAAATATTTACCCATTTTTTATTGGGTTGTCTGTCTTCTTAATAATGAGTTGAAAAAACCACATCAGTTGCTGTCAAGTTGATTCAGACTCACAGCGACCTTACGTATATCAGAGTAGAACTGTGCTCCGTAAAGTTTTAAAGGGCTGATTTTACGGAAGTAGATGGACAAGCCTTTCTCCCAAGGTGCTTCTGGGTGAACTTGAACCTCCAACCTTTCAGTTAACAGCTGAGAGTGTTAACCATTTCACCACCCAGGCACTCCTGTTTAGACATTGTGAATTTTACGTTACTGAGTGCTTGACTTTGTTGTATTTTCTTAAAGAGTGTTGGACTTTTTCTGTCAGGCAATTAAGTTACTTGTAGATTACTTTGAACTTCTGAGGCTTTAAAAAAAAAATCTCCTTGAGTACAGGTTTTTAAAAGTCTGTATTCTTGGGGCAATTCTGTACTTTTAAGATGTGGCCCTTCTCCTCTGGGGTCTTAAAAGCTTGCAAGCGGCCATCTAAGATGCATCAATTGGTCCCAACCACCTGGAGTAAAGGAGAATGAAGAACACCAAAGACATAAGGGAAGTATTAGCTTAAGAGACAGAAAGGGCCACATAAGCCAGAGACTTCATCAGCCTGAGACCAGAAGAACTAGATGGTGCCGGCTACCACCAATGACCACCCTGACAGGGAACACAACAGAGAGTCCCAGATGAAGCAGGAGAAAGGTGGAGTGCAGAACTCAAATTCTAGTAAGAAGACCAGACTTAATGGTCCGACTGAGACTGGAGTTACCCTGGAAGCATGGCCCCTGGATTCTCTACTGGTCCAGAACTAAAACAATTCCTGAGGCCAACTCTTCAGAAAGGAATTGGACTGTACAGTGGGACATAAAGTGATACTTGTGAGGAATGTGCCTCTTAGCTCAAGTAGATACAAGAGACTAAACGGGCAGCTTCTGTCCAGAGGTCAGATGGGAAGGCAGAGAGGGTTAGGAGCTGGTTGAATGGACATGGGGAATCAGAGTGGAAAGGAGGAGTGTGCTGTCACAGTACGGGGAGAGCAATTAGAGTCACATAACAATGTATGTATAAATTTTTATATGGGAGGGAAAAAAAAGATATGTCCCTTCTGAAATTACTACTAAATATGCTCAACGAGGTCTCTCCATTTGAACGATTCTTGGCTCTGTGTGAGCTCTGGGAATTATTTGTCTTACAGATCCCCAGAAATTATTCAGTAGTGGTTTTTGCCTGACCTCACTGGGTTTTACGTTGCACATGCACCAACTGTTATATACTCAAAGTCTCAAAGATTTCTTAGATTTCTGGAACTCTTTCTCTGCTCTCTGAAATTCTCCCCTAAAAATTCTAGCCAGCTTACCTTCCTTGAACATCAAGGTTTGCTCCTTGATTCAACAAAAGTCCTGGGCTCTTAGAGGTCTCCTTCCTGGGCCACAGTTTCCTATTTGCCTCTAGGCACAAAGCCTGAACCATGGCTGGGCTTACTGCATGTATTTCCCATTTCTCAGAGATCACAGTCTGATACCGTCTGTTTTCTAATGTCTAAAAATAGTTGTTTCCTGTATTTTCACAAATTCTCTAGTTGTTTATGGCCAGAGGATAAATCTGGATCCTGTCACTCACTCATGACCTGAGGTGAAATTTTCATACTGTATTTTTAATTGCTATGGCATCTCCTTTTAACATTCTTGCCATTTGGATGCCTGGGAGCTGAAAAAGAAATCTCTTCTGTTCCCATTGCAATTCTGGGCACTTGGGACTGGCAAGAGCATAGTTCTGACAGAACAATCTAAAATGGCCTGTACAGACTTTTCATAGAAACATTCTATGATTTAAACTCATAGGTATTCACTGGAGTCTCTAATTATAAATTTTCCCTGTGCTTGAGATAAACTCCAATATATTGTTTAGTTTCTTAGATGCCACATTTCAGATATTATTTCCATCTGGGTCACTACTATTGACCCTCATGTGTAGTGGAGGTTTACTCAACCCAAAGCATATTGTCCTATTCATCCTTCCGGATGAAGAGGATTACCAGTCACTTTCATGGATGTTCATCATGTTTATTCATGAGTAACCTGAGATGTTTACCAGAGTCTCTACTTCAGCTTTAGAAAAGAGGCAATAAGAAATCCATTTCCTCAAAGAGACTCAAATTCATAACCATACATCCTCATTAATCGTACTCAGATGTTTCAGGCTCATCTCTCTTTGTAAGTGTTGGGATTTCTTTCTGTAAGCTACCATCAAGCAATCATAACAACTGGACGAAATAAAAATTCGGAGTTGTCTGATGAAACATTTTCCAAGTTACATTGGTAAGAGTTTTTGCCACCTCTTCTTGCATCCTGCTTGCTTTAAATTCTCCTACACTGGTTTCCTATCCCTGGGTGACACTGGTCTGATTCTGCTCACTACCTTCTTAGAAACTGCCAAGTTTTCTTTTGGTTATTCATACTGGCTCTTGCAAAGAAATTCCAAGTCAGAGTGCAGCTTCTCCACAGAGCTTGATAAGCTCAAGAGGACTGAATCCAGCTATCACCTGACAGTACTGCTATCACTTGATAGGATCACTCTTACTGTTCCCAAATACACTGCATGCAAAATTCTGCTACTTCAAACTTTCTACTTAGTACATGAGCCATATTACAACCTATGACATTACCAACTTTGGTCACAGATAAACAAAAACCAAACCCATTGCTGTCAAGTCAGTTCTGATTCACAGCAATCCTACAGGATAGCGTAGAACTGCCCCATAGGGTTTCCAAGGAGCAGCTGGTGGATTCGAACTGCCAACCTTTTGGTTAGCAGCCGAGCTCTTAACTACTGTGCCACCAAGGCTTCAAGGACCCACAAATTCGAAGGCTAGAAAGTCAGAGTATAATCTTTTCTAGTAGTCCACAGAAAAAGAGTTCTCAGAGAGAGGTACCACAGTATAATTATAGAAAATACAGCAATGGCCACATACAGTACCCAAAATATACTATGTATGAATGAATGAGGCAAGTAAGAATGAATATTATACTTATGATTCCTCCATTCATTCCACTCCATATAGTCCATAACACTATATGGACAGAAAAATATGAGAAAGCGTATTAGTTTCTTTTACCTTCTATGCAAGAAGGTACTTTGCTAACACCTTTATGGGAAAAAAGCGAACTGAGTTCATTTCTTTGGTTATGAAGAGCATCCTTCATATTTATGTAATTGGCTATACAGCCCACTTGGGTTGAATAAAATCAACCTGATTTGTGGCATGAAAATGTGCTAAGGAATTAGGAGTATATCTTTTATTTTGAATGAATAAATTGGCTCTCACTGAGAGATTGATTCTTAAAAGCCCAGGTGCAAAAACAGGCCACTGTCCAAATGTCACAATTGTTTCTGCCAAATTTGAATTTTTAATTTAATATGCAGAAAAGATGTTAGAATTAATGTCTACATCTTTAAGATCAATCCATTTAATATGCATAAAGATGTTAGAATTAATGTCTACCTGGATAATAGGAGCTTGAGCACCAAAATAATTTCCTACTCCAGGATCTTGCCTGATAAATGCTGGTAGCTTGGAAGATAACTGGCAGGCACTAATTCTAATTATAAAGGCATCAACAAGAAAGGGAAGGAGTGTTAGGAACCACAGTATAAGAGGTGGAGTTATGGGAAATAAATGAATAGAACCATCCGATTGCCCTTGAGTTGACTCTGACTTATAGTGACCCTGAAGGACAGAGTAGAACCATCCCATAAGGTTTCCAATGCTGTAAATCTTTACAGACGCAGACTGCCACATCTTTCTTCTGAGGAGCAGTTGGTGGGTTTGAACTGCTGACCTTTCAGTTAGCAGCTGAGCCCTTTAACCACTGCACCACCAGAGCTCCTTAATAATTGAACAGAAGAGAATCTACATACAAGAAGCCTCAAGAAACTAACACCTAATAGCTAAAGCTAATAAAGACACTCATCTCAGGGCTGTTTTCTGGTCTTCACAGACAGCAAGACAAATACGGAAGAAAAATAATCCCAGCATGCTAATTCAAATTAGCTGCATAATGTTGATGTAGTCATAAAATCAGATAGACAATCTAACTAATAATATATGTGGATTAATCATAGAGTTATACACAAGGCATAAAGTAAGCATTATTAAGAGCTGCTTTTCAGAGACGGGCAAAAATACAATTCAAATACAACTTATTCTCACCGTATTTATGTTCTTCAGATCATATCCATAGATCATAAACAAGATGTTGAGGCAAATCTTATCAAGAAGCTGTAGTGGGCACAGCTTTGAACCAACAAAATTTTTAAATGCAGTATTAGGTAAAAAGCCTTTATTTCCAGAAAAAGCCTGTAAAATAAATTTACTTTATTCGTATTTGGAAGACTACACTAATTCATTAAGAAATGATGCAGGAAGTTCACTGCGCTTACAACCAAATGTATTATCTTGCAGTAGTTTAAAAAATATAGATTAAGGGAAAAACTTGGAAGTATGATGTAGAAATAATTTCACAACTGTATTTTCTCTCACAATGAGGTGTCTACGATTGTTGTAAGTAAACTTCTATCCCTTTGTAGAAACAAAGTTAAGAACATAGTAAAAATTAAACCAAAACTTTGAATTCATACATGAGGCTGTATGAACATAGTCAAGACCTCTTATTCTGAAAACAGAATTACTGTCATTTTGGGTTATCAACTACATAAAAGAAAGGTAGAACATACCTTGATCACTGACTTCAACTTGTATGCCATCTTAATTAAAGGGCTTTTTGAGTGTTTAATGGAAAAAACTGGTGCTAAGGCAAAAAATATTTTTATTCGTTCAGCCATTTTTGGTATGGTGGAAAATGTTATCAAAGCTGAAAGAAAATAAAACATAAATTAGTAAGATATTCTTAAGCAACTACTAGCAGGTAAAAATGACACCACAGAGAATAGCAGTAAGTTCAAAATGGTCCCTGAATAATTAATTTACTCAATTATTTCTTACTTCATTTATCAAATAATTATTACCCAGTATGTGACATGCATACTGGTCACAAAATAATGCCAATTGTTAGGATTAAAGAATAATAATTGAGCAATAAATCAGAATTATAACATCATAGTTTAAAATATCAGGAACAATATTAAACATCTGTATAACTGGCAATGATGACAAATAAGTGAATTTTCCAGACAGATGAATTCTGTACTTTAAATGAAATACTCAATAAACGTCAAATTGTTTTAATATTTACTTTATATATTTAAAAACTTTCCTGCCTTCTTATAGATGATATTAAATATTATTTTACATTTCACTGGTAGCTGAGAGTCATTAATATGACAAATAGTTGTTCCCTCTTTTCTATCTTTTCAGGCTATCTCCTTGCACATCTTCTCTAATTCTGATGGGTTTTACTCTATTTTCTGTGTTCTGAGAAGTCAAATAATCAAAGAAATACATGACATATTATGAGTCAATAAGCTCTGGTCCATCACTCTTTTTTTTTTTTTTATTCCTTATTTACTAATTCTTCAGGGATTCTGGTTTCAAATAGTTGAAGAGCTGAAGAGAATTTGGACTAAAAGTCACACACCTGGTTAGTAAATGTCACAGAAAAGATCTATGGAAAATGAGATTAGATTGTTATACAACATGCTTTTGCTCCTAGGAAGTGAATTATTCCTACAAGAAAGTATTACTCTTCAGCCTAGAAAAGACAAGACTTATTTAACATTGGCTTCTATTATAAAATGGCTTTTCCAACTTTGAAGTTAAAAGAATAGGAGTAAACAGGTTTATAGTACCATGTAAGAAAATTAAGTTAGGTATTAGGAAATTTTTTGCCTGAAAGTAAAGTTGTTAAGCATTAGATAGAGGTATTAGAGTTCTAAGGGAATAAAAGATTTTTTTCTGGTCATCTTTAATTGTAGGAAGACTTTCTTCATTTTTGTTTACTTCTTAAGTTTGATCTGCCCTAAATGCAAAAACATGAATAGCCTTTTCAAGTTTTTCTTGCTCGTAAAACCTATGCTATATTTTTAAAAAGAAAAATAATGTGTAAGTTCCCCTTGTGGAACAAATGATGATTATGATCTCACTTTGATTTTAAACAAAACGTATATCCAACTGTTACACAATCGCAAACAAACAAAACCACAAACAACCTGGTTTTTCACTCAATGATTATGTGATTAGGGAAGCCTCTACGTGAATCAAAGCAGCATATAAGATTCCAGGGCATGCTGCTACGCCATGCTTGTCTCACGGTTTTGCTTTGTTTAACATATAGGCCTAGAAGCTTATTTACAATTTAAGAAATCTATCTACAACCTTAACAAGAGTGATTAAAGAATATTATCAACAATCTCTCTTGGCATACCAATAGTAGTGCCCTGTGAATGTCCTACATAGAATATTTCATCTTGTCCTGTTTGCTTCACAATGAAATCAATAGAAGCTGGAAGGTCATATTTGGCCATCTCATCAAAACTACAAAAGAAAAATGGAAATAAACTAGCACTTCCCACTATTGTTATATTAACGTTTAAAAATAATGAATAGGTAAATGAATAAAGGCAATTTCAATGCTTTTTTTGGTATGAGCAATGAATTATGTTTTATAACGTATCTACTGAATAGATATTTTTGTGGGGAACACAAAGAAGTCAAGGAATGAAGTATTTACAAGGCAGTCTTATAAAGAGGGCATTTGTATATTGTAAATACAGTGAGAAAGACTAATATATGAGTTATAGAGTGAGAGACTGGTTAAAGCAGGGGTGGAGGTTGGTCAATAGCGTACTAAGAAATAAAGGGTACTGCTAAGGAAAAAGGAAACTAACGCAAAATCAGACGAGCATTCTTTAATGCTCAAGCCAAATTTTACATAAATTTTGGTGGTCTACTGAGAACTCTGACTTGAGAAAAGAGTCAAACTTATATTTTATTTCAGTCAAAAAAATGTTCAATACACATAAAATAAAATGAAACATTATTTCATTGTCTTTGTACCTGAAAGCCCAGAACTCTTTGGAATTTGTTTTTAGGTACAAGTGTTTCCTGGACCAGGTAGTCCCTCTGCTGTTTCCCATCCACACATCATAACCAGCATCTGCCAGAATAAAGCCCAGGCTATTGTTAGGAAGATTGGAAATCCAGCTGCTGGCAGATGTAAGCAAACCATGTTGCAAGTATACAACAAGCCTCTGAGCTGGGGAAAAAAAAGTCTACATAAAAATCTTCTATATGAAATTCAAAATTTTAACATGTGACAGTTTGAAGATTTTAAAATATTGTTTCTATAAATTGGTAAATTACTAATGTTTAATCCCATTGTAAGTCAGTGATGCTTAAAACAATTCACTAACAGATTTCTTTCAAACAACCAAATGGGCAATTATATCATGTCTTATTTAAATATAAAAACTTTTAGGAATACAGAAGAAATATTCAAATATATAACAGTGATGTGGGAACCCATACACATTTCAAATAACATTACATAAAATATTTTATATTATTTTTCCACTTAAACATTTCATAAAATAATTTTAAGATTATATTTTTCACAGACATCTTTAATCCTGATGTCATTATGATTACAGCCACAGTGTTAATCACATAACCAGAGCCCTAATCTATTTCCAGGTTTTTGAGACGTAACTCCTTTTGAAAACCTATAAGGTGTGCTCAATTGGGCTCTAAGCCTCAAGTGCCATTCACACAAAATCCACATCATCATCATCTACTCTAATAGATATTGTTGGTGCTCTGCCTAGATCCCATTAACTAGGCTGATGATCCCATTCTCCAGCTATTGTAAGTGTTAACTGCTAATAGTATGCAGTTGGTCCTTCTTGAGGAAAGCACTCTTGGCTAAATGGAAGATCCCACACTAAGGGGGGTGGCAACCCACATGACTAACTGACATAAAGGTACAAAATGCCATTCCCTTACTTCAAAGTTGGACAAACTTTGTGATGTACTTTATGTTCCATATCTCCCCAGGAACCAAGGTGAAGTTAGACTCCCGTTGAGACCATATCCTTGTTTAATTCCTTTCTCTGCTCTGCAGAGTTACTATACTGGCAGGGGTAAATGCCCCTGGTCATCACGACGAGGTATACTGCTGATACATAATGGAGACAGGGAGAAATATACTTGGCATTCAGATGATCCACTGGGACATCTTTTGTTACTCCCATATGTAACTGTTAATGGGTAAGGACACCAACTATGGCCTGACATGGACATGGGAATCGTTAGGGATGAGGGCCTGGCTTACTTATTATGCAAGCTACGTAAGAGGCAGGGGAATCAAGAATGTGTGGTGGTAAAGGCAGTTTATGAATATCAGTTACAGTCTTAGGTGCAGGTGCAAAAGCAGGTATCATAATTTGCCCCACTAATTTCTCTTGGAAGTTTTCCCAGAAATTCTGAACAATCAGAATCCTGGAAAATCTGTACCTAGATGAAATGAACTTAGTGTGAAAATCAAGTGGATTGCCATAGTGTAAGGGGTAGACTCTAGTTGATGCTGTAGGTGCCCAGCCCAGATCTCCTTTATTAAGGAGGTGCACCATTACCCAGCTTTTGTGAGTGCTGCTTTCTAAGGGCTCAGTATTTCCCCTTTCGCTGTAGAAATTCCCTTGGGAACCAGGAATTGCCTCATTCGGGAGATATCTCTTTCTAGAGGCAATGATTGACTGACATGGAAACACAAAAAGCTGGCTCCCTAACTTCAAAGTGAGACCACTTGTGTGGTCAATCCATTGAGCTCCTCTGGGAGCAAGCTGCAAATAGACTCAAGATGAGTCACATCCTTCCTTAAGCTCTTACACCTGCCCTGTCCTGATCTCCACATTGCTTTCTCCTGATAGTACACCATCAGTAAATCAAATGCACCTCAATCCCTGCCCTAGGCTGCTTCTAGACAACGCTAGGGCACTTACTGTATTTTAAAATTATCTTTAAGTCCTTTATTATAGTACTTTCTTCAGAGATATGAACATTATGTGCATCCAAAGTTACACTGATTGAGTTTGTTTCAAGATAATGTGCATTCTCTTAAGTATTTTAACGTTCAAAATAAGAACTTGAGAAGGGGTCCTATGAGAAACATTCTTTTCGGGGAGAAATTCGGAGAAGAAAAAAAAAAATCTGGCTTTTATTTGGGCAATTCGATGAACAAGCAAAAGCAATCCACTACATAGTCTGCTAGTAATTGGCAGATCTATGACAATATCTCAGGTGTCCTGACAAATTTAGTGCATTTTGCACCATACTCTGCTGACACATATGTACCCACTGTTGTAATAAGGAACCATGAGGCTGTTATGAAGCTGATCTTGTTGCTATTAGCGACCCTATAGGACAGAGTAGAGCTGCCCCATAGGATTTCCAAGGAGCATATGGTGGATTAGAACAGCCGACCTTCTGGTTAGCAGCTGAGCTCTTAATCACTGTGCCACCAGGGCTCCATCACTAGAGAAGAGTCACAAAGACATGGAAGGAAAGTTTTACCAGTTTTTCCTCAAACCTACATAATAATATGGTTAAGTTTCAGGGAATTTCTAACCCCTCATCAAATAAATCTCTAGAGAATCAGCATGCATGAGCACAGAAACCTGAAGGAAACTTGTGTTCCACCACTCTATGAACAAGAAGCCACTGGAGAATCAGGCTATCCTCTTGAGACACGTGGGGGAGACATATGAAAAGCTAACTATTTGCTTAATCTTTATATCTTTTTCTTGTCCTATGTTCACTTAGAAGATGTGGAAAAGTAAGAACCTCAGACCCCAGATAGTCTCCAATAGTTTCTGCATTTAATATTACCTGAATTGTTAATATTGTTTGTCTTCCCATGAGGAATTCTATAAAGGCGAAGTATATAACCATCTTCAGTTACAATATCATATGCTTCGTCAGGGTAGCCCCAGTAGGAAATAATCTGGCTCTGTATTAAATAAAACCCAAAACTTTTAGCAAAAAATTCTTAGTTAAGTTGAATGGTTTGCTATTTCTAACGTATTATGTAATAATGAACATTAGTATTCTCCTTCAGCCTCAGGCCTATCTATTTTTATTTTCATTCATTCCCTCATTCATTCAAGCAATATATATTTATAGAATATCTACAAAACTCCCATCTTATATACCAGGGACACAAAGATAAACAAAAAATAAAATAAAATAAATAAAAACCCCACCCTCAAGGAGATATCTCAAGAACTAACCCACTAACCTTTTCTTTTCTAACTACTATTCACTCTAAAGAGGAACCTGGAGCTATAGAATAGTAAATAGGGATTATTAGTTGACCCATATCAAAATATATGAATACAGAGATATAAGTATAGTTTTGTTCACATAAAAACTCCAAAATTTGAAAAGTAGCATTTTCTATTATTTCAGCAGTTTATCAGCTATTTCCTAACAACTTACAATGTTCATATTTGCTTCAGGGTTCACAGATTTTTGATGTCGAAAGAGACCATGAGTTGCTCCAAGAATAAGAACCAGATACATCGCTGTGATAAGGTACCACATTTGAGATCTATGTATAAAAGAGAGTTGTTAATACCATTAAAAGTTGCAGCAAATAATACATTTGACTCTTAAAAAAACTCTGTGAGTTACAGAATATTATCATTTTTAGATGAGAAAACTAAGGCTAAAAAAAAGTAAATAACTTGCTTAAGGATACATGATGTATAAGTGGTGCTGGGATTCTTAATTCCAAAGTCTGTGCTTTTCCAACTACCAAATTTTGTAACTTAAATTCCCTCTCTGAAGTTTCTGTTATAGTATTGTTTAACCCAGTTGTGAGAGCTTTATCATATATTGCAAGATAATTGAAATCGGAATTAATGCTATAATAATATTCTTACCAGATGGTTAATATTAATTAACCAATGCTGCTATAATGGAAATACCACATCTAGGTGGCTTTAACAAACAGAAATTTATTTCCTCAGAGTTTAGGAGGCTAAAAGTCCAAATTCAGGATGCTGGCTCTAGAGGAAGGCTTTCTCTATTGACTCTGGGGGAGGGTCCTTGTCTCTTTTCAGCTTCTGTTACTTGGTTCCCTGGAGATCTCATGTGGTGTGGCATCTATCTTCTCCCATCTGTGCTTTTTTTGCTTATTTACTTAATCTACTCTTTCATATCTCAAAAGAGATTGATTTAAGACACACCTACATTAATATTATGGCATTAACATAACAAAGAAAAAAAATTCCAAATGGGATTATAACTACAGGTATAGGGGTTAAGATTTACAATATATATTTTTTTTGGGGGGAGGGGTTCACAATTTAATCCATAACACCAGACTAACATTTATTAAAGTATGTTTAAAGAGTATATTTTGGGAGGAGGCAGGCCTGGGTAGGGCAAGTTAGAAGTTTGGAAAACTTTCATTCATTCAGCCTCTGAGGGTCTTGATTTCATCTTTATTACTGTAATGTCATTTTCCAATCTCCCAAATTCTGTGAAGCCAGAACTGTAACACTTAAGCTCTTTCTAGAAAAGTAAGAAATGAAGGGACCACAGAAGAGCCAGAAAGTACAGCTTATAGATCTCATGAGCCTTGTGCAATAAGCAAGACACTATACCTGACAGGTGTTATAAAACCCCCAGCTCTACCACACTAGCTTTGTGATTTAAGGCAGGTCACTTAACCTCTCTGAGCATCAATTTCCCTACCTATAAAGGTATATAAGGATTGTTACAAAACTTAAGTGTGATATGATGCTGTATTATTAGTTACATGTCAAAACAGAAATGATCCATCATTGAAAATTATTTTAGATAATTTTCAGCTGACAATTCTATTAGGTTCTCCTTCAATTTAGCTAAAAGAATTGGGAACCCAACTAAACTGCAGAAGAATTTGAATCATTCACTTTATCAATACCAACTCCAATATTTCAAATTGTCCTTTGTTTGGCAGACTAGAAGTTTTTACTTCTTAAAGTGGTGCTACATGTAAGATTAGAGATAAATGAGAGATATGCCTTCCTTTTGTAAAGTTGAAGGGCAACTGTGAAAGGGAGGATGCTTGAAAACAAAGACTTTTACAGATATATCAATAAAAAGTAACTTTGGCAGCTGAGGACCTGGATATTGATTTCCTTAAACTATTTATGCCTGGGCACCATTTAGAAAATCATCATTTATTTACAGGTACCCAAGTTTGAAGACCACTGCTCTATCCAGTACTTCAATTACCTTTACAATATCCCCCATTAAGTGTTCGTGCAGTTTTTGCTTGAAAATTCTCCAAACAGAAAGCTACTTTCTGAGGAAATTCATGTCATTTTTAGATGAATATATGTCAAATTTTTCCTTGAACAGGTTCTTTGAGTTGAGCCAAAATCTACTTTTCTATAGTTTTCATCAATTGATTTTAGTATACTGAAAATATCCAATTCTTTCTCCCTTAAGGTCTTTCACATACTTGAAGACAGCTTTCATGTTCCCGCTAAATCTTTTCTAGCCTAGAAATCTCCAACCCTTTTACCTGCTCAAGTAAGATAATTTCAAGTCTTCTTCCTTTCCTTGTGACTTTTCTTTGGAATTGCACCAAATTCTGAATGATTTTCTTAAAATCTGGGACCCAGCAATGAACATAACATCACAGCTGCAGTCTGGCCAATCTAAGTAGTGTGGGACTGTCACCTTTCTTGTTCTGCACACTGCAATTCATTTATCACAGTTCAGGTTCATATTTACTTTTTATCTTGGCAGCTCCATTGTACTGTTAACTCATAATGAGTTTAGAATCAACTAAAATTCTATGCCTTCTCTCCATGATTCTGTAAAATTATTTCCTAGATACAAGGAATATCCCTGTTCAATTTTTTACAAATATTTTCTTTTAAATTTGTTTCACTGACAGTCTGTTGAAATACTTAAAAATGCTAATTTTATCATTTATTATGAGGTTATCCATTTTCATTTTATATCATTTACAAACTGTTTGGTATGCCATCAATGGTCATTCAAGTTATCAATAACACAAATTAGGACAGACAGTGTGCAGCACACTACTAGATATCTGTTCGCTGACTGACATGATATATTATTACAGTCATGTTACATCATAAAATAGCACTCTCTGGGAAAGGATGTTTAATAATGAAGTCACCCAACTAAATTACCATCCAGCCTATGCATTCTATCTTCCTTAAGTATTCTCCTCAAAAGGCTCATATACCTTCTAGGCAAACAGTTAGTGAAACCAAATATTCTCTAAGAATTCTAACTTTAATTGTGGTTGCCAGGGACACTATATATGGAATATGACAACATTTATGTCCTCTTGGTGCTGACAGTAGAAGACAGACAAAAAATATAGAAACAATAAATAAGTAAAGAGGAAAAAAAACAACTTCTAAAATTGTTTAGTGATGTGAAGAAAATAAAGCTATTAGGATACTCACTGGCTAGCTAGCTATTTTTGTTCAAGTAGTTAGGGAAGGCCTCTTTTAGGCAACTTTTAAGCTGGACTTGAATGACTAGAAGGAACTTATGCAAAGATAAATAACCAGAAAGAAGTTAAATAAAAAGGTCACGGTAACTCTGAAAAGTAACTATAAGAGAAAGCAACTATCCCAGTTATTCTGCAATTCCACTTTTCCCTAGGTCATCTAGTCATTACTCTTCTTCCACAAAGACACAGTCATGCCAGTATTAAGTCATGGACCCACTACCCTATAGTTATAGCTCTGGACTAAGATATAGCCAGTTCTGGAGATGGGAGGATCACTACCTGAAGACTAAGGTAATGAGAAGTCTCAAGCTACCATGGCTACCTCTATTCAATGGCCATTACATTCCAAAATTTTGAATAGCTGTTTTCAAAAAGCATATTGTTGATAAGGAGAAAAGAAAAAGAGAGTGAAGAACTAATGTAAATTCACATTTACTGGAAACATAACTCAAAACTATGCCGTGTCCTAAGAACAGCACAAGCAAAGGTTTTCCACTTACACAGAGAAGTGGACAATTTGAAGATGTGTTCAGGGAACAATAAGTAATTCAGTTTAGCTATAGCATAAGACATAAGAAGTTGTGAAGATGAGATATAAACATGATTTGGGGACATATCACTGAATACTTTTTGTACCGCATTAATGTAGTTAGTCTTAATTCTTTATGAAATTTAGAGCACCGATAGTTTTTGAAGATTGGTAGTGACTGATTGAGAGCTATGTTTTATGAAGTTTACTCTAGAAGTTGAATGCAAAACAGAGAACGGGAGTAGATCTCTCTTTAGAAATCTAATGGAATAATTCAGGCAAAAACTAAATGACTGAGCTAATTTGTTGGCAATTACTTTTCAGAATGCTAAATGTCTACAGTTGACAAGAGTGCACTAAAATAGACACTTTGTCCATTTAAAAAATGAGCAATGGAAAAGAACAGAAATTTCACCAAAGAAGACACTCAGATAGCTAACAGACACATGATGAAATGCTTGCGATCACTAGCCATTAGAGAAACGCAAATCAAAACCATAATGAAATGTCATTTCACCCTGACATTACTGGCATGAATCAAAAAAACAGAAAATAGCAAATGTTGCAGAGGTTGCAGGGAGATTACAACACTTATGCACTGCTGGTGGGAATGCAAAATGGTGCAACCGTTTTGGAAAACAATAGGGCAATTCCTTAGAAAGCTGGAAGTAGAAATAACATATGATCCAGCAATTCACTCCTAGGAATATACCCTAGAGAAATAAGAGCCCTTGCACAAACAGCCATATGCACACTTACGTTCACTGCAGCATTATTCACAATAGCAAAAAGATGGAAACAACCTAAATGCCCGTCAACAGATGAATGGATAAATAAACTATAGTACGTACACACAATACAATTCTATGCAATGATAAAGAACCATGATGAATCTGTGAAACATCTCACAACATGTATGAACCTGGAGGGCATTATGCTAAGTGAAGTAAGTCAATCACAAAAGGACAAATACTACATGAGACCACTATTATAAAAACTCAAGAAAAGGTTTACAACAGAAAGAAACAATCTTTGATGGTTAGGAGGGAGGAAGTGGTGGGGAGAGAAAAACATTAACGAGACAATCGATTAGTGGTAACTTTGGTGAAAGGTAAGACAGTACACAATAATGAGGAAGTCAGTACAACCTGACCAAAGCAAAGTCATGGAAGCTTCATAGACACATCCAAACTCCCTGAGGGACCAAGTTAGTGGGATGAGGGCTGGGGACCGTGGTCTTGGGGGACATCTAGCTCAATTGGCACGACACAGTTATAAAGAAAATGTTCTACATCCTACTTTGGTGAGTAGTGTCTGGGGTTTTAAAAGATTGTGAGAGACCATCTAAGATATATCTACTGGTCCCATCCCATCTGGAGCAAAGAAGAATGAAGAAAACAAGGCACACAAGAGAAAGATTAGTCCAAAGGACTAATGGACCACAACTACCACAGCCTCCACCAGACTGAATCCAGCACAACTAGATGGTGCCCAGCTACCACCACTAACTGCTCTGACAGGGATCACAATAGAGCTGGAGAAAAATGTAGAACAAAATACAAACTCAC